TTCTTATGTTTTACGCAAATAAATAAAACATATATAATTTAATAAAATACAATTACTTAGTTGTAAATAGCTTTAAAATTGGTGAAAAATCAGCATTTTTTTCGTTTTTTGTCTAGAAACATATGTTCCCCCCCCCCCCCCCGTGAAACACAAAAAGCTTTGGCATAAATTTGTAAAATGACAGTCCATATTTCCTGTAAAAAGGAATTTTTGTTTCACGGGGGGGAAAGATGTTTTAAAAATATTTTCCGTTTTCCATTGATTTCTATAGTGAAAAACTGAAGTTTTACCAAAATTATAGAGTTATCTCTCTTTAGTATCCCAAAAAAGTAACGTTTTATTAAAATTCATATAAATATCTATAAAAATTTTGAAAATCATTCGAATATGGTAAATTTTGAGAATTGACTTAGAGGTAGGCGGGAGATAGCTGCAATAATGTAGCCCTCTCCGATTTTTTTTTATCTGATATTTTCTGGAGAGGGCTACAATTCCATCGCATCTCCGTAATGGTGCAAATATATTTTTTTGATACGGGTGATTGGAGGCAAAATAAATTATTTTTACATTAAACTTACTTCTTATAAGACGGAATTTTTATTCACTGTCAACAACATAGCCTAGTTAAACTCGAAAACCATGTAAAATAAATCTGTGTCTTTCCCAGCTGCAATATTCAGCAGCCATGACAGTTCACGCGTGACGTAGTGAGACTTTCGCTTGAAATTTGGAACAACCAAATAAAGCAAATGTCGATGTTTATAAACGATTGTGCTATAATATATTACAAAAACATCGATAAATAAAACCATTTCAAGTGTTATTTTTGCGCAAACAGCGATACGCATATGCTTAAAATAAGGGAATTCCTAGTAGATCCGCTCCTATAGAACCTAAATTCTCATTGGCTGTCCCAAAATACAATCCATCAAGGTCAGTAAACATGGCGGATAAATTCAAGTTAAGCTGTTGACACACACGAAAAATAACCGATATATGGGTCGTTGTGAATATTTTTGGATCGATTTATGTTTTGCATAATTACATATTTGGATTCCAGGTAAGAGATAATAATAAAATAGCCGTTTACTGATAATTTGAGCCGAAATCCGTGCGGGAGTGATCCACTGCCGCATCTGCACCATTATAGAGATCCTAAGGAGTTGTAGCCCTCTCCCCCAAAAAAAAAAAAAAAAAAAAAGAAAAGAAAAATCGGAGAGGGCTACATTATTGCAGCTAGGCGGGAGAACAATACTATCGTTCGTGGTTCTTGGAAAACTTTTCAGTCATAAAACTATTTTACACTAAATCTTATTAGACTTGACTGAACATTCTTTTCATTTACGTTCCCCTTTCATAATCATTTTGGATAAAATATCTCATTTACACAATTATGAGTTAGACATAAAGTTAGAAGTCAAATATTCATGACCTTGAGCTCAATCAAAAGATTAAAAGAAAATACTGAAATATTCACTGATAAACATGTACTAGTAAGCTAACTTTGAGCATATAGTGCTATTTCTGCATCTAGAAGTTAGTCCGAAAAATCTGACGTTTTCCAAGCTTTTTTACGATTTTGATATTTTACGTGCCTGGCACGTAAAATATCAAAATCGTTAAAAAGCCTGGAAAACGTCAGATATTTCGGAATACTAGAAGTGGATATGATTTAGAAATAATAGCATTGACCTTTACCTCCATGACCCAAAGATAATGTTCGAAGTTACGTGTAGTTAATTATAAAGAGGCGGTTTAATTTTGTTTGCTTCAGAGCTAGAGAGACAGGGGTGGGTTGAAGGAGAAAGAGACAGACAGAAAGACAGCCATATCACAACAAAATCCTTCGTCTTTGAGGCATAAAAATGTTGTTACGAATTACTGATACTGGTACTATAAAATAAGTGTGAAAAAGTAAGGGGTGTGTTTGATCTGTAGAAAAAGGTTCTCACCTATTACTCGTATTCTATTGATATTACAGGTCCATTCGCAATTCTGCTGGCTACACGGTATTCTTTCCGTCTAGTATGTTTCAGTGGGGGCGTGACCCTCTGTATTGGTTACGTCAGCTGTGCTTTCACCAATGACGTTATGTACTGGTATATTACCTACAGTTTAATCACTGGTACGTGAGCTTTTCAGCATCTCCACAATCAAAGCAAATTTTTACCATATAATCTACAAATAAGCAAGAGATTATATGGACAATTAAATAAATTAAAATGTATCCTTGAAAAAATAATCACTTTATAATCATTTTTTTCATTTAAACATGATTTAGACCTTGATTAATTACAGGCATTGGCTGTGGTTTAGCGTATGTCCCTTGTTCTACTTTAATCAACTATTACTTCGAACACAACCGCGCACTTGCCAACGGCATCGTCCTGTCTGCTAGTGGTGTGGGAGGATTCCTCTTCCCGCATATATACCACATACTTATAGACCAGTACGCAATTAGTGGTGCTATGTTAGTCCTAGGTGGTATAATGTTGAATGTTTGTGTGGCAGCTTCCTTTTTACGACAACCATACGAATTCAGCAATGATTCTTCGCGTGATGTAAAGACAAAAGACCGGGAAAACGAATATGGTTCGTGCAAAGAAGTACTATGCCGAAAGTTCTGTGCATGTGACAGTAATATTATGAAGGACCTAACATTTCTGTCAATCTCTATGGCATTTTGCCTGTCCGCTCTAAGCTATTCGGCGTATTTCTATACTTTTCCATCCTTTCTGGAATCGGAACATATCGGAAAAGCAACCACAGTTTTTATATTTTCATTAACAGGAGCGTGTGAAATTTTTGCACGAGTGGCCATGGGCTGGTTTACGGATCTGAAGATTATTTCACCAAGCCACGTCTACGGCTTATGTATGTGCATCAGTGGCATTTCAGCTTTTGTTGTGCCCCTAGTTCGACACAAAGTTCTGTACTATGCTTATGCTGTAGTAATTGGAATATTCCCTGGTTCTTTTTATGCACTGATGTCCATTATTTTATTAGAAACTGTTTCACTAAAAAATCTTCCATCAGCATTTGCTGTAGTAACAATATTCATAGCCGTGTTTTCCCTTCTCGGATTGCCTTGCTTAGGTAAGTATATCATGAATTGAAAGGTTTATGTTCTTACAGGTAAACGTCGGTATCTCGACCATCCGGGTACCTCATAGTTTTTTCTCGGTCTAATCGAGGTCGGGATAACGAAGTTTAACTGTATTTGAAAAACGAAGCATTGAACCTTGTCAGCATTCAGTAGAAAATTCGAAGATTCAGGCATATTTTGTTATAGGTTGGGTTGAAGACTTGACAGGCAGTTGGGACAATGTGTTTTATATCACAGGGGTCTTACAATTACTAGCAGCCATTATAGCGTTCTTCGTATCCCGATGTTCCAAATCCACTGACAGCCAAGACGATGTAGAGAAAGAGGTGAAAGAACCAGCAAGTGAAAAACTGTTAGAAGCCGGTATAAAACGCTAGAAAATATAGCATTTTTCATCTATAAATAATTCGGTGGCAGCTGGTTCCAGAGAATACTTACAGTGCTGACAGCTTCGCTGAGATGTAGGAATCCAAGGACTGGTAAAAGTGCTGGGTAGATTAGATAGAACTTTAACTAGAACCAAATCTTATTGCCATTTTGAATGAAGTGGATAACACCTTTTACGAACTTGTTGACAATATCATTATTATATTACAGTGTTCTGTGAATTCTTTTTCTTTTAAATAAAGGGCAAAAAACTTTTACCCCGTCTGCCTGTCTGTCTGTTCACAAATCTCTAACCTTAATTGTCCATAGCTATTGATTGTATGCACCTATGGCTTTTATTTGTTTGTTTGTATGTTGTTTAATGTCCCTCTCGAGAATCTTTCACTCGTATGGAGACGCCACCACTTCCCGTTGGGAGCTGCAAATTTTGTCTCAAAGCACCTACGGTCATTAAGCAGTGAGGGATCTATTTCGTGCCAGGCCATCACCTACTGCAACGCGTGGACCTCTGTTTATACGGTTTCATCCTAAGGACCGGTTTCCACGTCCCACAGTGGGATTCGAACCCGCGAGGAAAAAACCATATCCTTACTTCGCGAATCTAAAGCAGACGCTCTAACCGATGCACCACGCGAGCGACTGTTATGGCTATATATTTTACGTGTATAATTCTTTGTGACAAGGCCATTGTATGGATATCAACATATTTGACTCTTAACCTTATAGTTTGACCTTCTTATTCAAAAATTTATCAAAGTTTTACTCAGGCCATAAGTTTTGATTAGATAGAGCTAAGACTTTTATATGTCATGTTATTAGCTCACCTGAGCTGAAAGCTCAAGTGAGCTTTTCTGATCATCTTTTGTCCGTCGTCCGTCCATCTGTCTGTCCGTCCGTCTGTAAACTTTTCACATTTTCAACTTCTGCTCAAGTACCACTGATCCAATTTTAACCAAACTTGGTATAAAGCATCCTTGGGTAATGGGGATTTTAAATTGTTAAAATGAAGGGCCAAAATCTCTCATAAGGGGAGATAATCAAGAAAATACAAAAATAGGGTGGGGTCATTAAAAAATCTTAATGTTCTCCAGAAGTAGGTCAAAAGTGTTGGTATCAAAAGGAAGTTTTCACAAGGAATACACCTGTGACATTTGAAAGCCCTTGTATTAACTGGACAATGACAAAGGTATTTTTAATGGGTCAAACCCTAAGATCAAGGTCATATATGTTGGTACTCAAAGAAAGGACATATCACAAACAAGAAGATAACATGGGCCTCTTGTTTGTGATATGTCACAGGTGTATTACCTATGAAACTTTATACTGAATACAGAGTCGGTTGTCTGTGTACTTGCGTAATCAATATGCTTTCCAACAATCTGAAATAATTAAAATACCTGAGTTCAGCATCAGACACTGAAGAAGTAGATCAACTCTGAATGAACTAATAATTATTGTCCAAATTTTTAGACACACTATATTCCGAAAGAAAATGAAAAATAAAATTTGTTCCTTTAATTTTAAAACTTTAAGGATAATAGCAAAGCTACATTTTAAGATAGTACATACATACAAACACACAACTTGATGAATATATTAAACTTTGTATTAATATTCTCTACATAGTAGCATAGATTGCACAATATCAATAATTTCATCAAAATGTGGACCACTTAATCACTAAAAACAACATATTCATTAATATCCCTCAGGCCTCTTATATTCACTTTTAAAACAACATAAATTGAAGTCCCCCCACAAATAAACTGAGAACACTAAATGAACAGACATGTACTTCTTGATTTTTGAGTTACACAAAATACACAAAGCAATGGTCTTGATAAACAATTAATTTCAGATGCCAAACTATTGGTTTTAACTTTTAAATGGCAATAAAAATATCTTGATGAAGATAAAAACAATTTACATGTAATTGTTGAGTCCTTCATGGATTTAAGGAAAAATTGTTTGTTTTTATTTTTTGCTTTTTAATTATAAGCACAGTACAAGCACAAGGTTATGAGAAAAGATTAGCATGAGCTCAGTGCTGTCAGGTAGCAAAATTCCCCAAAATTAAAGAAAGGATAAGTTTAAATTTATCATTTAGGTTGGCCAAATGCATACTTTGCCAATGAAACTCAATAAATTACATGTGTTTACAATAAAAACATCCCTTTGAAGATCTTTCTATGAAGAAATCACAATAATAATGAATATGAAAATTAAGTACCTAATTGAAACATACCTTTAAATGACATCTTATTTAAGATTGAAAAAAAAAATAATATGAAAATAATTAGATGTTATTTCTGAAAAATATTTCAGATATGATGACTTCTGAAAAACAGATGTTACAGGTGTGACTCGGTGATTCACAAAATGAGAGAAAACGACAGTTCATGGAATAAAGATTATTGCACATTTCCTTGCAATCAGTTGTAATCTTATTGAAATGGAGAATTTCCGATGCTTTGGCAAAGATTAAATAATCAAGACTTCGTATTTCTTTGGTCTTGTCATTTGCTCTAAGGACCTGAGGGATAAAAATTCTCATCAAACTAATACCCAGCTAACAATAACAAAGATAATAAAGCTGGTTTAAACTAATAATTTGTTAATTTTGTTAATATGTCATATCTTTCATCCTATTATTCATTCTCTCTGACCTGAACACATACTTGAGGTTGTTCAGTTCCAGTAAAAGATGTCTATATCAATAAACAAAACTTCATTATACAACATACTTGGAGAAAATACTCTGTTTTTCTATCAGGGGCATTTTCAATATGGCAAACACACTTAAATCATTCTAAAATCACACCAACACTTGATACAACCAAACTAACAGACACATTCCAGGGTACAATTATAATAAAAAATCATTGAAAATTCATTGAAATATATTTAGCTAAGCAATGACTCACAGTAAATTCCATCAAAAGACTGTCCTTGCAAAAATGTCAGGGTTACTATATACAGGGTTATTTTCGACGTGTGTTAATTTCGCCCTTTCACACTCGCCCAGTTTTAAATCCACCCAATCACAGTTCTGTTTAAGAAATTATTCAGTGTTCTTTCATTTTAAATTGGCCCAAATTGACAAGGGTGAATCGGGTGAAAATAAAACGGGGGTGAAAATTTCCCTGTATACAGTATCTCTCCTCAAGGTCACTTTTTGACGTCTTCTATATTTGCCATAAAATATTTCTATTCTTTCCATAAAAAAATTAAACATTTTCAAGATGAAGAAAAACTTCTTTACAAATACATGTACTTACAAGGAAAAAATCACAGGATAAAATTGCTGTTTACGAAGTGTTGCAAAACAGACAACAATTCTACAAATACAAACATGTCAACAATTACAATCAACCTTTCATACTAAGACAAATAAAGAACGTTTCAGAGACATAGTGATAGAACTATCAACCTTATAAACTGAAATGCTAAACCTCTTCAACTGGGTTGATTAGCGCATACCGGTGCTCACTATGCAAAATACATTTGGAATGATTCTACTAGACATACTAGTATACTATTTGATGAGAAATTATGTAACAACAGTATAAATGAAACAATTGAGATAAATGTATATTTACTGTTAACAGTAAATGCTCATTCACAAACCTCACATTTTGATCTCATTTGCTTCAATTTTATCATGATTTTTTTTTGGACCAAACACAATTCATGTCATTCTATTTCATTAAAAAAGATAGTGGTTATCTAACTTCTCCACACAAAAAATCAAGCAAAGAGAGATAACTCTACAGCCAATTTATATAATGTTGCAGACCCATACACACTGTCCCAAATTTTTATATGCTATACCTAAAATTGGCTTTAAATTTATTTTTATGAATTTTATCCATATCCTTTGTTAGGTAATGGTCGAAATTACAGAAACACTTCATTACAATGAACAAATAATTGTTCTCCTTTGATGTGGTTAGCATCTAGCCTAGTTAATTAAGTTGTGACTAAAAGTACCGATACACATGTATTCATAAATATCATATAAACTGAACCAGTCAAAAAATCAAATAGATCAATATAGTAATAATGAATGTATATAGTTGTTGTTGTTAATGTTCACTTTAAATATACTAAATTATGCTACATCACACGATACTAGTAAGAGTAAACAGTAAAACAAATGGCAATCCCTCTATGTTGTATGGCAGAGTGAGACTGGTGTAATGTTAGAACCTGAGATGTATGGTAATATGATCATGGCAGAAATGTATACAGTGGTTTGAGCTGATATATTATGATAACATGGGACCATTTTTTAAATGACAATTCTTCCAAAGTAATTAAATATTTATCATACCTGATGGAAAAAAAATTAATGCTCAATATTTTTCATTAAACTATGCATGCATGAGCATGTTTTTCAAAGTGATAAATAAAATATCAAAAGTTTGAAGTTTGCTCTATTTCACACTTTATACATCTATATACATCTCGTTAACCTTTTCCAGGTGTGGTAAACCTCCCTAAATTTACCTTCATTTTTCTTTTTAAGTAAATGCTAAAAAAAAAAGAAGAGTTTTGAGGATAAATTAGTAAATAACCTTGTTTTATTTAATTTTTTTCTTGATAAAAACCTTGTAAAATGACTAAATAAAGATTAAATGACCTAAAAGAACTAGATTTGATCAAAGTTTACACAAACAAAACAGAAGTGGGAAGAATGCTCCCACGGCAACAAACACCGGCAGTAGGATGGTGCTGGTGTCGTCCTCAGAGTAGGGGTCTACCACTTTGGGTCCGGAGGGGCGGCGGGATTTTGTCGGCTTCGACTCGTTGATTTCCTCCTCTTCTTCCTCCTCCTCCTGCTCTCTGTGGGCCCCGGGGAGGGGGGCTAGGCTGGGTACATCTGTATAATAATAAACATACAAGATAAATGGAGCCCTTATACATGTACAAACATGCACACAGTACCTCTCATAAGTTAACTGTAAACAACCTCAATAAAACAATAGAAAGGAGACTGTCTTTGATACTGAAAAAAATTGAGGCTACAGAATTAATTTTCAATATATAATTTTTCAGACTATAATTTTCAAATTTAGATGCAAATATTTTAAATACATGTATCCAGGGATCACTTTGGGCTGCGCCTTTGCGCCATTGGCGCTCAATATTTGTAAATGGTGCACTAAAAAATTAGAAAGGGGTCAGTCTGGCGCATGTCTTACAGATATGGCGCTATAACATGCAAAGCTGCGGGTCGAAACTCTTATCTTGGTGCATTTTAGGACCGTTTTCAAGCTGACCGATTGTATTCATGACGTATCTGAGCATACTGTTACTTCGTTCAATCAGACTCTTTGTAGTCGTGTATGTTCTTTACACCAGCAGAGCGTCTGGTTGATCAAGACTAAATTCGGAATTGTACACGGAATATTTCCTTCGTTTAGATTACGCTACTAGAAATTTTTTTTACCGAATACGGAGTCAATTATATTTATTGAAATTATATGTAATGATTTAAATAATAAACATATAAAAGTAATACTCCAGTATGTAATATGTTCTAATATGTAATATTGATTTTTTTCTTCTTAAAACTTTGATTATTTATTTCGAAACAAAACAAGTACAAGTTACTCATTGTGTATCCAGACACTTGCCCGAAATGCCTCCAAAGCGAAGATTGGCTTTGGGCCAACTGACCCAAAACAACGAAAGCTTTCGTTTGTTTGACAAATAAAATGATGGAAACTTTTTCATTCCCAGAATCGGCAGAGGTCTCTGATTAAGAAGAACAGTCCAAGACGTTGACTCCTGATGTCAACGGCAACGATGTTCGTCATTTCAAGTGGCTAACTTTGCACCCGTGGTTGGAATTTGATCAGATGGGACTAAACGTTTTGCAAACAAATAAAAATTTTCTCATTTCAGTTTTTTGCGTATTTTGCTCCGAGTTCTTTGCATACAAAACCAGTCACTACCATTCGAACCAAATTTAATCTGCAACTGCCCCAGGTCTATTCAGTAGAGAAATGTGCATGTAAGTTTGCATCCTTTATAGTTCAGCTCTTCAACAACTTTCGAGAACTAAATCGATAAAATCAAAGGGGCGAGGAATTAACTTAGGTATTCTGTTTATCAATTAAATTTATACTCTGTTGTATGAAGTCTAAAACAATTCTCCAATATGACATTTTTCAGTACTGAGATGAAATTAAAAAAAAAATTCTTTTATATTTATAATATTATTCATTTTATTTTAAAAAAAACTCAAATTGGTTGTGTCAGAAATGGCATTTAAAAACCCTTAAAGACCAATCAAATTTACTTGAAATTCATCACAAAATAGCATGGAAAATCAATTTTTTTGCGTTGCCCCTGGACCCCAATGGGGGCCTAACGCGGCCCCCATACCCCCGGCGGATGGCCCATGGATTTTAATGTTGATGGGCCATTGGCCCATCAACATTAAAATCCAGAGTGATCCCTGTGTATCAGAACAATACCTGATTGATTTTTTTTTTAACAAAAAGGTTTACCTTCGACTGTGCCCTTCATGGCATACATTGCATTGATTTTTGGGTTGTCATATTCACCCTATCAAATGAATAAATAAAAACATGAAGACTGAAATTCATCTCTAGTTTGCCACATTTTATTCATTCAATATTTATGAATAAAAATTGATTTATTTCAATTTCTTTAAGCTCAATTCAGTTTCAGTGTAATTTTGCATGCACCATACAGCATATATGGTAATACAAAGGCACAATACAATAATTTTTCTCCTGATTGATTAATCACTGTGCATTAATACATATAATCAATAGAAAATTTAAGGTACTCTCACTATTGTGTGTTCATTAATATGATATAAATACATACCTTAATAAACTCTACAGAGACTTTTCCATTTATCTTGGAGGTTTCACCGTTGACTTTTAATTTTCCATTTCTAACAGAAAAAGGAATGATTTCATCATGAGCTACTCCTCTGCCCACTTTGTTGTAGATGTCCAAATTTTCAACAACGGTGTGTTCTCCATTCAATGTCACATCAAATACCTGTGTAAACAAGAAAGCCAAACATAATCACTTGTTACATAAGCTAAATAGCATTTAAACAGTTTGTGTTAATTGAAAAGTCAGTGTGGATTTTCTTTTACAAATGGAATTGACATTTCTCTGAAAATCTACAAATTGGTTGGATGTGAAAATGTTTTCATATTTCACTTCAAACTTGCTTAAGTTGAGAAAGTTGAATACTTTTAACTTTAATTACGGCACTTTGCATTGAACACCTGGATTTTGACTGTACAGCCAATCGCAAGCGAAGTTCAGATGACAATTGGTTCAGGTTTGGCATTCTGGTTCTGTTCAAACTCGACTGATAATCTGAACCAGTAACTTCTGTCCATATTTTCATGCATCCATACTACCAATATCCATTATTTTGTAGGGTTAGATTGACATTAATGAGCTAATCTACTTAAATTTTAGCTAATTAGTGTACACCACTATGTACAGGTATATATTTCAAGGATTCCTTGATGTATTAAGATAAATTTGGGCTTAATCAATAAACAGTGAATTAGTTGTCTATAAATAGTTTTCTTTGCATGCAGATCCCACACAGTCTCTTGATTTAGTAAATACATGTAATTTGCAAATGTATTTCGAAATGCGACTCCTTCAGAGTATTTATAACGGAAAATACAAACAGGTCAGGGGCTATGCACAGCATTTCTTTGAGTCAGACAAGATCATTACTTTTAGAATGAAACTAACAATACAACTGATTGATAATATTTCAGCACAATGTTAAGTAATCATGGTTATTTATCATCATGCCTCTACAAACAAGTTGGTTTATTTAACAGTTACCAGTATTTAAACAGAATAGATCTAATATTTTAACTAGAAATGTGTCCTTTGTACATGAATGCCCCGTCGAGTGTATACCGTATAGCGGGTTATTTTAGCGGGGTGCTAATTTTGGCTTATTTTAGGCTAGCGTTTTGATGGAAGTCCGCTAAAATTTTGATCGCTAAAATATTCAGTAACCTTCTAAGTGTTCATTTGCAAAGAGCTGAAACTCTGTGTCCGCTAAAATAAATTACGCCAAAATTATTGGCATACCTGTAAGCAGGCAAAATGCCAAATTTTACATCCGCCAAGAAAACCCGGTATACGGTATTACAGTACTAATGCAACATTTGTATTAGTGTATGAAGTCCATCCTTAAAGGGCTCCAACCTCAGTTCCAACACCCATCACTGCCATGACATGGCACCAGTTAAGGACATGTATGTAAATACATGCCCTAAGAAATCAGTAAAGACTAATTGAAAGGGGTAGACCAATGTTGTACAATAAACACAAATGAGACATTCTCTGTATCTGTATCTGTATGTATACATTGTAGTATCCTATATAGCTTTTTCACAACGGTAAGAGAGAGCGCCGGATGTTATTGGCGTCGATGTTCCTGTACGGCAATCTTAAATCCCTCTATTGTTTTCGCATGTAGGACAGAGTTGGGTAGATGGTTCCACTGAATACATGTGTCAATAAAGAATGAGTGTTGTTCATATTGTGGTGTCATTGTAACAAAAGAGGAAAGAAATGCAGCTGAGCTAGCAGACCAGGATTCGAACCTGGGCCCCCTGAATCTCCGGTCAGGTGCTCTACTGACTGAGCTATCTGGCCACCAGCGATTGAACCCGGCTGACCGCCACACAATGAAACATATTTTCCAATACATTAATTAAAATAGACTGAAACAAGCTGCAACAAATCTAGTGGACTTGTCCAAATGCCAGGGAGGACTTTGGGAAAAAGTATCTCCTTGCTTTTAAAATATCAATAAGAGGACATATGTATTTACCTTTTTATTTGGAGATGTGAACCAAACCTCACAGAATTTCAGCACTAGAACATAATCACCATCTTCTTTGATGGGAATCTCGTATCCAAAGGTGGACATATGATACCGCTCTGTTTGGTAGAGGATCTGATCTTGTGGTACTACTCTGTCGATCATTAAAGTTTTCCCATAGTCTGAAGCAATGCCCACCTGAGCGGGATCTTTTTGATACCGAATGCCATGAACATCGGTGTGGGCTTCTCCTCCACAATTCACAGCCCAAAAGACGTCACCGATTGCATGTGTTACGCTTAAGTTGAGACAAAACAAAACTGAAAGTAGAAGCCAGCGTGACTCCTTGCACCTCAGTTGACGCTGGAGGTGTGCCAGCATTACTCGCACCCCGGTTTTCATTGAAAATTTGGGTGGTTTCTGTTTCCACGTTTCTAAGTCTAACGCCGGCTTTTTCTTCAGGAAGTTGATTGTGTGCGCGACATCTGCCCCAAGAAAGACAACTCTCACCAACTTCCTTCTATGTGGGAAGCTCCGATTCGCTGAAAAAGTGTAGGTGGATCATAGAACTTAGGCCTACTGACTTACTTGAGAACAGAAACATCGCATCGTGCATAGTGAAAGGAAACCTGACGTGGAAAATTACAGAGCTCTAAGAAAAATCATTTTTCTTGCACAGCCTGTATATATATCTAACATTTTTCATCTACAGTAGGTCTTTGGATCACAGGCACTTAATTGTTTCATATACAGGGCATCTTGACGCTTGTTTTTACCATGTCGTGTTAAAAATAAGTATGGATGTCCTGTATACGAGACAAATGCCTGTGCTTTGGATGCAGCACCTCAAATCATGAAATACATCATTACATGGAGCTGAGAATATTAGACAATACAATTCAAGAAAAGAACAAGTTTTACACGAACCTCTGAAACATATCAGAGATGGGATCAGGTGCCATGGTGGGGAGAGCATCCCCTGGGGCCCACTCGATTGGGACCCTTCTTATTCTAGAATAACCATTCTGTCTGCTCGATTGGTTTGGTAGGGTAGACTAGCTTAGGCCTTCTCAGCCTTCCGCATCAAAGATGGAAGGATCGATAGCATTCTAATATGGCTTCAAGCAGGTGGGTGAAAACTTTGGGGACTTTAATTATTGTAAATAAACCAAACTTAAAACAAAATTAAATTACAAAAAAGTAATTTTATAATTTATGAAGGCTAATTCTGTTAAAGCATTTTTTCATAATTCATAATTTACCATGTAATATGGAGTGAAGATTTGAGCCAGAAATTGGTCCCTGATATGACTATAATTATTTTGATATTTTTCATACAATCATGTAGTTTAATATTATTCTGTCTCAGGCACTTGATGTTTTAATCTTTTTTTACATAGATAAAAAGTTCCCAAAATTATTAATTTTAATAAAATTTTCCACTCTTAATTATCTCTTCAAGTTTCCCTTTCTAAATAACATTTAATGCTTTAAATTAAAGGATTCAAATTCTTGAAAAACAACTACTGCAGTAATTCAAAACATTGCAGATGATATTCCATCATATCCAATATCCTTCTGAACACTCGATTTAGACATTCAAATCCTTCTGACATTCCACTCTGCTTCTAGAAGGGTCCCAATCGAGTGGGCCCCTGACGATCGGCCAAACCCGTCGTGTGCTCCTTGTTAGTCATGATCGGGAATAAAATAACGGAAAAATCTGTTGACAACTCAGAGTGTAAACAAGAGGCCCATGGGCCATATCGCTCACCTAAACATTGTGGCTAGGAAAAAGTAGAAACTGGTTTATTATTGAAATGTTTAAATCCAAAAGTAGTCCCATGACCAATCATGGCTTTGCTATTCTTGAGAAGAAGATTTTTAAAGAATTTTCCTATATAAATATATGTAAAATTTGGTCGGCCATTGTGGCACCGCCCTACCCCCGGGGGTCATGATTTTAACAAACTTGAATCTACACAATCCGAGGATGCTTTCATATAAATATGATAAATTATAGCTTTTCTATTCTTGAGAAGAAGATTTTTAAATAATTTTCCTATATATTTCTATGTAAAATTTGTTCGGCCATTGTGGCACCGTCCTACCCCCGGGGGTCATGATTTGATCAGATTTGAATCTACACTATCTGAGGATGCTTCCATATAAATATGATCAATTATGGCTTTCTTATTCTTGAGAAGAAGATTTTTAAAGAATTTTATATGGGCCATTTTCAAAAAAAGTCCACTTTTTTGTCTTTTGATCAGAATAATAGGAAAACATTTTTTAGAGTGAATTTTTTT